TAGTGATAGCCTTCTAGGAAAGATTAATTAATTCATGGAGAGGAAGAGCTCTATGTTAGAGAATTTAATCTGTATTGGCTCAATTAACTAGATAGAAATAAAAGATTCATGTGATCTGAAATCAAAAGTTACATCTCTATATCTTGTTGATCTACATTTACAGCAAAAGTTATCACCAATAAAAATCTATAAACACTGCTCAGTTCAAACTGAGAAAGCTCCCAGAGCAAGGCATCCCCTATAGAGGTTGGGTTGAGAAGCTATTACATCCACTGGTGAAACACAGACTGTTAACAAAGAGTAGCAACCAAAAAGCATCTGATCCCTGCAGTGCTCTGGAAAGCTCACAGATCAAGCACAGCTCAAAGGGCAATGCAAGATCTTCCTTTCTCCCAATTCTTCTGCTAGATGCAGACATCCATCTGCTCCCACCCACCACATTCACCTGTTGGGAACTACATTGGTTTCACATGTCCCATACACAGCTGGTGTATGCAGAGAGGACAACAGATGTCCATAGTCTTTAGTTCACCATGAAACTCTTCCCTGCCAAATTACTGCTACAACATTAGCTCTTGGGATACCATTGGCTCAGCAGTGATTTCACAAGTGGTCTCAGCAGGTGAATCCCCACACCCCAGCATCTCCCAGAAAAGCCCCAGGAAGCTTTTCTTGCCCCTGCATAAACACCTTCACCCAGTGCAATTTTCTGATTATCAGGACCAGCCTGAGGCCCTCCAGATTTCCCAGAGACTTGGACAAAACCAGAATCACTTTTTTTTTTTAAAGAAAGTCCTGAATAGCTGTCAAATCTGTTATCCCTGATATAAATCACAGCCTGGAATAGCAGCAGTATTTTTAGAAAAATAGCAGCAAACTAGCAAGCGTGACACAGAAAAAGAACTAGAGCATGAGATACCATAGGAGAAACCCTAAGAAGGCCAACTGGAGATACCAAAAAGCAAGTAGGGGACACACCACAGCTATAGGAATTTGCTTAAGATATTTCCACCACAAGTCCACAGCATTGAAAAATTTTCTGAATAGAGAAATTGTGGGAAGAAACTGTTATAAATGAGAGATGTTGAGTGAAGTGAGACAGGCATATGTATGCATGCAGTACCCCATCTGACTATAGAATCAATACCAACCATTATCTACCATTCCAGGCTATAGAAAACTTCTTAAAAAAAATGTATTTTCCCCAAGTTAGCCCCTAAAATTAAACTCCTGTAACTTTCTCTGGCCTAACTTCAGGAGAAAAAGTCTCAAACTAAGTAACCTTTTTCTAGCAGTAATAGTGCTTTTTTCCTCCAGCCACTTTGATTCCTTAAAAAGAAATCACCTCTGCTGGAAAACATCACCAGCAGATTAGTCAATTAATCTGCTTCATCCACCACACCTAGCTGATGAGTTAGGAGGTACAGCTGTGCGTAAAAAATACCCAAGCACCAAACACCACAGGTTTTACTTGCAAATCCCTCTCTGGTTTTGCTCTCCTATGATTATGCTGAGCAAAAAATTGTGGTTGGAACCACCTCTTTTTCTGGTAGATAACTGCCAAGAAGGAAAAACAGGAGTCCTATTTTCAGAGTAGATTCCCCCACCCAGTTTTGCAAAATAGCTCCCTTTTACTGACCTGGACCTGGCTCGCTGATACCTATCTGAACATGGAGGAGGTTCACAGAGAATTTGTTCTACACCATCATTAATACTTGGCACACAGCTTCCCCAAAATCTCTCGAGCTCAGGTGAGATTCACCCTTTTCCCAGGCCTTGGCTCACTCCAGTTGCTCTGCTGCAAACAGCCAGAGCTTCCCAAAAAGTCAGCCTCTTCCTTGCATCTTTGTACCTGGCTAAATCCTACTGTAACAGTGCTTATGAATAATCTAATTGAAACAAAAAAACCCAGCTACAGACCCAACACAAAAAAATAAAACCAAAATTTTGTGAGTGGCTGCTCTCTTGTTGCCTGCTCACCCATGATTTCATATCTCACTGTACTGAGGGAGAACAAGAGAGACAGGCTTTTCTACACTTCAGGTGAGAAACCATCCAGAAACTATAGACATAAATACAGTATTTTAAGTAGTACTAAATTAGTAACAAACCCTTCATTTTATGGAGCAGTGCTACTACTGAAACGAAACAGCTTCCTGATCATCTTTGCTTCTTCAGCACTGCTGGAGTAGAGACATTTTGCAAGCAACTGAGCACTTCACAGTGATCTGCATATGCATATACTCATTGAGTCCTAGCAAAAAGCATTCTTACAATAAGACATATTCTTAATTTTGCATAATACCAGTGATACCCCTATGAGCATTTTGCTAGCAAGTAACTGCAGTGTTTGCTATTAAAAGTAGACATAACTTAAATATAGCTTAAGAGGTACTTGTTAGAATTTTTAACAGCTTGCTATGGATCTGTGCAGAGTATGAATTAAAGTATTTAAATGGTTTGAGGAAAGTTTTTGTTCTGCAGATGACTGCCTAAGCAAAGTGTTTTGAATTAGTAGGATACAGATTGTCACAGGGAATTTCTGAAGCTGTATAATACATGCTATAGCTTTGCTTCAGAAAGCAGCCATAATTAATGTGTCTTTAATAGTGGCAAATGACATTCCATAAGCACATGAAATTTTAAGCAAGTATCAAACATGATTCTTAATGGGAATTTTATGAGCTCTCATTACATTCTTATTTCTTACATTTAAGTTGTACCCTTGAAAGTTAGCATAGCTCCTCAGCTATGGATGGTTGGACAGTATGCAGTGCCTATTGTGGTGTAAACCACCCTCTAAATAAGCTTCAAATTTTTCCATTCTGGAAAGCAACAGACAAGAAACTTGCAATTCACCCTTACTCTCTTACCAAGCAGGTACATTTTCAAAATAATCAACTATAGCTCTGAACAGAGAGAAAACTTTAAGATAAAGCTATAAAACTGTTGTATTCTAATAACTGAGTTTATTAGACTATGTAAGGATTAAGGTACTATGCTATAGAGCAGATAAATAACAACTACAGAAAATATCCAGTGAAAAGAAAAATAAAACCAACAAAATAATGACAACAGCATTTCCTAACACAAATGTTTTCTCAGAAATGGCACATTTATGAAACAAACCTCCTGCCAGAGCCATACCTCCAGAGCTGCCTCCTCTCAGCAGGACAAGACCCTTCCGGTACAGGCACACAAGGGGAAAAAACCTGGACTTGTGGCCACTGGTGGGGAGATAAAGGGTGTCCTCAGTGATTTCAGCTGTGACTGCAAACCAGGTGAAGAGCTTCATCCAAGGCAGGTGTGTGGGTTGCATGTGGGTGGGAGCCTTACCTGCAGCAGCGTTATACTGCCACCCAAACCTGTCCTTAGCCCTGGGCAAAAGGAAAAACCTTCTTATTAGACCATTGGGTTTCAGCATCAAACTCATCCGAGCCTGTGCCCAGGGGATAAGGTGCCTGGAAGAGCAGCTTTGAACGTAAAACCAATTTCTACTATTTTGTAATGTCGATGTGTTCAAAAGCACTTGGACTAACACCGCTAAAGGAAGGCAAATTTCAAGCAAAAAACATGCATTAGCAGAAGCCGAGTGACAGGCTCAGACAGCTATTCTGAGCTACATGAAAAAAAAAAAAAAAAGAAGAAAAAGCCGAAGTGTTAGCTAGGAAAGCAGGGTGCTGCAGGGCCAGAAGCCATGTGGGGGGAGCTGGGAGAGCTGAGCAGAGCTGTGGAGCACCCGCTGACCTCCCAGCCCTGCACCCTTCTTGCCTTTCTGGTCCTTGGCTGAGATTTAGGGTGCCCAGTGCACTGTGAGCAGAGCCGGCGGTGGCAGGGAGCTGCAGAGACTCGAGGCTTCACCCAGGGGCTACCTGACATTGGCTAGAGAGGTGGTTTTGGAGGCACTTGAGCAGAAAGTCTCTTTGGGGTTTGGATGATGAATAAATGTGGCATGGAGCAGTTCAACACAAACTGCTGGGGACGTGCATGAAAACACGACCCTGGGCACAGGGGGAGTGGTAGAGACAAGAGGAAATTGCCTCGAGTTGTACCAGGGGAGATTTAGGAGGGATATTAGGAAAAATTTGTTCACCAAAAGGTTTATCAAGCATTGGAACCACCCCTGGAGGTGTTTAAAGATGGTTTAGGGACATGGTTTAGTGGTGGTTTTGGCAGTGCTACTTTAATGGTTGGACTTGGTGCTTTTAAAGGTCCTTTCCAACCTAGACAATTCTATGATTCTCTCTACACAAGGCACTGGGGGCTGCAAGGAGGGGTGGGCACCATGTTCCCTGGGCCTGCCCCAGCTGGGGAGCCTCGAGAGGTGCCACCACCCCAGTGCCGTGCACTGGATTGGATGTGGGTGGGTGACACTGAGATTTTGCCCCATCCCCACAGCCGCTGCTGGGACACCCTGACCTGTGTCACTGTGTCCAGGTGGGAAGTCATTTTGCAAAGAACTTGTGCTTCCTTTTGCTGGGGCTCCAGAATTAAAGATACTGCCGCCTCTGCCTCTCATCTTGGTAGAACCTCCGTGCTAATTTTGACACTTCAGGCTTTCTACCTGTTTCATTTAGCCTAAAACCGAGAGGCTTGCAGGCAAGACTGGAAGGACTGACTTCAGCAGCAGAAGACTTGCGCTTTCCAAGCAGATGCCTCTGTGTGTGCCAAGATGCCAGAGACCCCTTAGCCTTGTCGTCTCAAACTCCAGCTAATCCCAGCCGATTCTCCCTCTAGCGAGGCTGAATGAAGAAATCTTTTGTCTTCAGATGGATGAGTCTCGACCCTCTTTGCAGCTTTGCTGACAAATGAAAGCTCTGAGAGAGAGATGGCTGGCGACAGCAGGAGCACACCGCTTCAGCAGGAAAAAGGGTCTGAATTCAATAACACAGTAAAACTCATTTGTGACACTAAGTAGAAAAATGATACTGTTCACTTCGCTTACACATATGGTAAACCAACCTGGGTGCTGGGAGTATAAAAACGAGTCAAAATACAGATTGATTCTGAAATCAGTTCTTTTTTTATCCTTGAAAACCATGGACAGGAATGTACAGCTCCACAAAAACGGAGGCCAAACATACCGAACCAAAACATTTCCTGGGATGCTGTGTGACAGTTTTTCTAAGGTTATTTCCTTTCAACCACACTCAGTCTAAAAGCGGCTTCCATTTGCAGTTAAATAACTGTGGTACACATTGCACACTCCTGGAAACACAATCTTTGTCATAGGCACTATGATTATTTTTCTTCTGGTTTTATTTCTGTTTTTACTGGTGAAAAAATAAACACAGTTGAAAATAAACACCTTCTACCCCCTTCTTCAATGTGTTTAGACTATGTGGTTAAGTGGCTATTCTCTCCAGCTATTTATATGAATAAACTTTAAGTTGGAGCATTCTTTTCTGTGTTCTAAAAAAAGTCTGTGTATGTAGCTTTACATATATATATATATCATTCAGAAGCCCTAAATCCATCTCAAGTGTTTATCAGTGATTTTACTGACAACAGAATCAATTTTCTTGCAATCAAATAGTTGTCTTATTTCAGTGAATGGTTCAAGACTTTCAGCTGCTAAAAAGAAGGTTTCACAAGACTCTCCCTATACATTGAGAACACTCAGATTTCATGTCCACGTTCGGTGCTGTTTCATGCACACCTACAGACCAGTTTTAAAGTAAACCGAATTTTGTGTAACATGGAAAAGATCTAGTGATCAATAAAGGAAATCATGTAATCAGATGTAGCTACAATAAAGGTTCATCTATTTAAATGAAGCCTGATTGATTCTACTTGATAAGTGCTCAGCAAAAAGTCTGAAATATTAGATTTGTGACTGTTAAGACTAGTTCTGGGAACCAATCATTCCACTTTTATTTCTGGACATCTTATTGTTTTTGACTAAACAGTGAGGTCTGAAAAACTATTTAACCAGTAAATCAGGCACATGGTTTGCAAAGGCAATTCTTCCCTTGCAGTTATTCCAACTATCCCAGCTGGGTATTCACAGTGAACAAACCACATTTTCATCCCCTTTGTTCCATTTTTAAGTGCTTTCAGTACAGGGATTTGCTCCAGGTAACCTCAGCAGCCAGTGATCGAGGGGTGCAGGGCACTGCCTGGCGTTCTCTCGCTGACTGAGGAAGCCAGGCAAAGCGCTGCCACCCAGATCCCACCCACAAGGATGGAGAGTTGCCCATCAGCTGTAGTGCCTTCCTAGAGCACAGGCGTTTGCACAGTGATGTGTTTTCTTTATTCTCTGAACCCATCTAGAGACAACTTTAAATTAATGCAAATGCAAAACTACTCTACTATTTACTGGAGAAACTGAAATGAAAATCACAACTTTCTTGCCATCTATATGGGGTTATAGAGGAGCCTTGTTTTAAAGGATTGTGATTTCTAAGCTTTTTTTCCAAGTCACTCTTTCATTTCACTATTGGGAGAGTTTCTTATTTTTAGCGTAGGAGGCCTCCCCTGCTGTGAAACCCTGTTCCTTGCCCGATGAAAGGGCTGAGCCTGCATGATGATCCCTCACAGCCCCAAGTGCTGCCTGCAAGGTTGAAGGAAGGACTGGTTTGCCCTGCTTGCCAGAAAGCCATGTGGGGCTTGCTGTGTCACCCACATCTCCAGCAGTGGGGTGGTACTGCCACCTATATCATAGAAATGTCCATTAGTCCAATGAAACTGAGATGGAGGTTAAAGAGAGTGGTAAATGCTGTCCTGAGAACTCTGAAAGTCCATCCTAAGACACTATAAACCACCAAAATTTCAAACAGGCTACCAGTTTACATATATCACAGCCTGCAAATCAATGTGACCAAACCATACAGAGTCATTTTAACATTACTGATCTGTGCAAATGCTAATGGAACTAGCTGGAAAGGTTTTTGGTAATTAGCCCTTACTTACAGCCCTGTCCACACTACAGAGAAGGCAGAGCACATCTCTTGCCTTATCTTTGCTTAATGTTTTAGGTGTTTTTATGTACGCTGGCTCTTGGAAGAAAAAAAGGTTTCTCAGGAAGAAAGCCAGGCTAGATAAGCACACACATGGACAAAACCTGCTCAGAGTAACTCTCCCCTCCCAGGGTGCCAGTTCCTACTCTGAGGTCAGAATTTTAAAGACTTCATCTCCTGAGCTGCCTTGGAAGAGACCCTGCCATTGGTAGCTGAGATGAAGATGCAGACAGGCCAAATCTGCCTTCACTGCTTCTCTATACAACGTACAGAGAAGCAGCATAGAGAATTAAATCTTAAAGATAACTTTGTTAAATAAAACTAATAACATGAAAAATCAGCCTGGCAGCTGATCCATGCTTAGATGCGAATGCATACAATTGCTGCAGAACAAGCAGGGAGAGTTTTGCTTGAACATATACTTGATTTTGGACTGCCAGACCCAGCTCCGACCTATAGCATTGGAGGACCTTACACCACTCTCAGAACTGGAGCTGAGTGATCACAACCAGTTACTCTGTCAAAGACAGATCAGCGATGACAGCTTTAAGAAGACTTTGGAAGCAGCTTCAGCTCTGCAATAATCAAGGAGAATATGCAATGAAGTATGACAAATGAGGTTAGTTGGAATCAAACTGCTTTAATGCTGTTCTGAAGTTACCCTGACGGGCAGAGATTTCTGCTCAGATTGCTCCAGCTCTGGCAGTGGGAACTAAGGGGTCAGGTCAAACCATGAGCCACAGCCTCACACACTGTAAATCAGCACTGCTGATAGCACTCTGTATAACCTGACAGCAACTGTGAATCCGTCCCATCATTTTTTAGTTCATATTATTTCACTTCAATTTAATGAGACTTCACGGAAGTCAGTGCTGACACCTGCCTTTTGGTACGGCCGCGACGGAGGAGCTGCAGACACCTCTGGGGCTCGGGGCGGGCCAGCTTTAGAAAGGAGCACAGGTTAGCACCGTGGAGGTGGAAATCTGGGTTTTATTTCAGTCAGCTCAACTGCTGAGCCACCATAAATATCTTCCTCTGGGAGCCTTGTTCCCTTTACATTAACTGTGCTTTCAAGTGAAGCAGCTGCCACTTGCACAACACCAGAATCTGACCTGGAAATTTTACATAGTCCATTTTTTTCTTTGCAAATATATTAGTTTTATTTAACTTTCCATGTAACACCCAATGTTGCCATTGATATGCACAAAAATCTACAGCATTTTATGGGCAATTTGATACAAAAAAGAACTAACTTGAACATGCTTCTCAGAGAAAGGTTAGAAAGGTTTTGGTTGGAAGGGACCTTTAAAAGTCATCTAGTCCAACCCCCCTGCAATGAGCAGGGACATCTTCAACTAGATCAGGAGAGAAACATGAAACACAGATCTTACCCATGCTCCCTTATTGTGATATAAATCTTAATATTTGTAATTTAGCTTTGTAATATCGAATTTTTAAAAAAATACTTAACATAATGCAAGCATTTCAAGTAAAGGTGGTTTAAAACAATCAGAGAAGAAATTTATTATATTTTTTTAGGTCTCTTCTTCCAAAATTCAACACTTTAAAGCATCCCAGAATTTGGAAATCACTAACCTAAAAAACAAACTAGTGCTGATGACCACAGTTTCACTGACATGAAAGAAATCTGAGAAAGAAGTAAAAGTAAGGCAAGTTTCTCAGTTGATGTGACCAGACCCAACTCAAAATCCATCCCTCCTCACCCCTGGAAAAAGCTGTGCCATAGCCAGAAACCCCCTACTCTCTGTGAGAACCAGGAGAAGCTCCCTAAGCTCTTCTACAGAAGTTCACAGTGTGCATGGTGCTGGATGGTGGGGGTTGTAATACTTCTATTAGTTGCTTTTCCCCCATCAAGAACAGTCAAAATCTGAGCTATTTCTAGGACATTAAAGTTTAGCAGATAGCTTCAATCTTAGTATCAATTGGTAGGTTTTTGGAAAATAGTCATGGAGTAGTCATACCTCTTTTCTTTTTTTGGGATGCTCATTTTCTCTTTCCTGGAAAAGATCAGAGATAATCTGAAGTGAATGAGTTTAACTTGACTCAGAAAGCCAAAGTGAAATCTAAACTGCATTTCTGTCCTGCTTGTGCTGAAGTACACGATACTTGCCTCCGCTTGGTATAGGAGTAAGCTTTATGTTATAAAAGAAACATCATCTTAATGTATTGTCCAGCAAGGGAAACACTGAGCCTGAATTCTATAAAGTAAGGTCTTGGACATATTACTGGCATGACTTATAAAATGGCCTCACTCAGTCTTCCTTCATTACCCTGATGCACCTCAATAACCTTCAGCTACTACTGTTTCTTTCAGACAAAGCAATAAACTATCTTCTTATTTTAGAATATTAATTATTCTTTGTATTCTTTTCAGTTCTTGTATTATTATGTTTTTAGATTCCAAATATTTACACAAATCAGAGCTCTCATTCCATAGTCCTTCAAAGCAAGATGTACATTAAACCAATAACATTTGCAATATAACTCTTAATTTTATGAACTTTGGCATTATTTATATTACATAATTTAATCAAACACATGTTAGAGGTCTTAACCTTTGGAGAAATTTTAGTATGAAATTTCAGAAATTCGCACCTGGCAGAAAATTGCATTTGAATATATATTTATCTCAGGACACTTCAGATGACTTCTGGTCTTTGGTACTCTGAAAGAAGTCAGAGGCTTCTGGTCTGAAATCTCACAGTAGTTCCCAGTGCTGGTCAGAAGAACCCAAAGAAAGCATCTGACTGGAAACATTGATACTGGCAGATATGAAGGAATGGCAAGAAAATGCCTTGCAGCACAGGCCGCATAAATCCTTCTTCAAGGGCAAGATTTCCCATCAGGTCTACCCAAAGCAGATAAATTTTGAAAGTTTTAGGCCTTAAATTTACTCAGTGGACATCCCCAGTGTCCCAAACATTAGGCTGTAATTGTACTCTTGCTTCTGAGGGCAAGATAAAATTGAACATGATGCTGAGCCATCACAAATTCAGTGATTTCAGTAAAACCAGAGTGGGCATGGGGCAGTGCAGAAGCGGATCTTGCAATGCAAGAGCAAGGAATAAGTACAAAAGTAATCAGTTCCCAGTCACTATAGGGATGTGGTACAGACCACGGTCACTGTTAAGGAAAAAAGAAATATAAATTGCATGTAGGTCTCCTCCTGATGGTGTTACAGAATATATTGCTAAAGGCTACAGTACAAATACAGGATTTCCATGCCACTTACATATGTTATATCCTATACTTTATTTACATTCTTCAGCCATCAATAAACCCCTTTCTATTATAGCTATAAAATATTATAGTTCCACATAAAAAAAAATATAGGTTGTCTTTCTTTATTTTATTATTTATCTGGGAAAAGTTTCACAAGAACAGCCTTGTGGTACTAGGAAACCACTCCTTGTTTACAGGACTGCTGACCAAAGAGGAGACTGCTAAATCTTTTCAAGAAAGGAATGGTCAATGTAGCCTGTTGGTGTCATGTGATCGCTGTCTCCACAGCCGACATTGAAAATCATGCTGTAATAATAAAGAATCAAAACATAATTACCTTTGTTCCAAGGGACAGTAAAAGAATTACAAATCTGGGATTTTCTTCCCCTTTTCCTTTTCTCAAATACTACCAACATGGTCATTAATAATGTCAGGTAGTTTTACTTTTTGGCATTTTCAACAGATAAACTGATATGAGTATGATTTTCATAAGCAAAATGAAGGTGGCTCCATAAATCAGTGTAAGCTACTAAGCTTTGTGACACTACATTGGACATTGAGTAAAAGAGATTTGGGGTATGATCATCTGTTAATAGAAACTGTCATTACTGCATTGACTACATCAGCTGAGAGCATGGCTGGGGTGCTAGGTACCAGAAGCATTCTGAAGAGCTCTTTTTCCACAGATGCGCTTGTCGATCTAAACATGATTCTGTAAGGATTAGAAGGTTTCAGTTTTTCAGTGGTTAATGCTATGAAATGTGCCCATACTCACCTACTTTTCCTATTTCAAATGCTGGGATCATTCTATTTTTATTTTTTTTTAGGGTTATTTTGGTTTGTTTAGAGGAAATTCTACACAGAAGGAAAAAACCTCAGGATATACACCTCTCATAATTTTACTCCACAGTATTATGCTGAAGAGACACAAGCTTTCTCTGTTCAGTTCAGGGAAAGTTCAATTTATTTAATTAGCTATTCTCCCAGTTTACGTGAGTGTAATGCTGCGTGTGTGAATTTTCCCACCAGACTACAATTGGAACTTCATAGGTCAGATATAATTTTTAATTACGTTACAGGTAAATGATTGAGTTCAGAGCTTCTTTTAGGGAGATTATAGTCTGTTTCCAAGGCTGGGAACAGATGTAATTTTAGGAATGAATTGCTTTTTACACTGAATGGCATCCCTTCCGATCCACTTAGTTCAGTGGGACCATAGGGGTCAGAAATAAAGCAAAACTTGGCCTACCATTTTGGCTGTTTCAGTACAACTTCCTTTTGTGTCCTCTACATAATTACCAGACCTCAGAGAAAATGTTGTCCCATTCACTGTAAAATAGGAAGGTCCACGGAGGAAAATAGTTGCATTAGTGAAACACACAAACAACATTAAGGCTACCTAGTTTGATGTTTTCAAACCTTTTTCTTTTCCTCTGCAAACAATGACAGTTTCAATAGGATCTGAAGCGATACTCTTCACAAATAATACACTAGTCTGTCATATGGTTAATAGTAACGTCTCTCTATTCAAACATGCTGAAAACTGAATAGAACAGTTAACATATAACAGTCACACATCCTTTGCTGAGTACAAGATCGCATCTCTAACATGAACTGAAGATATCCTCACCATTTCAGATCTTCATCTGTCATTCAACATTTCAATCTCTTAAATACATTGCTTGTCCCCTCCTTCTGGGTCTTTCGGGGGTGCTGAGTGAACACATTCTCTCCATAAAGGCATTGCTTATGATATGGTTCTTTCTTCAACAGAAATCTTGCCGTGTGTTTCCAATATATTGCCAGGTGAATTTGCAGAGGCCGGTAGGATTTGGGGGGCAATAAGGCCTTACATCTGGATTGAAAAGATTTAATTTTGGAACATCTATTTGGGCAGGACTCTGCACTTTATTGCAGAGAGACTGCATCTTGATTAGATTAATGGCGAACAATTAATTTTGATCACACTTCACAAATTATTGAATCAGAGCTTTATATAGGAGCCGGTTTTTTATATTACAGTTATGGTCACACCAGGTGAGACCACTCCTCATGGTGATCCCACCTTACTGCTACAACAAAAGCTCTGAAGAAGGGAGTCTGAACAAGGCATGCTCCATCCTGGGCCATAAAGCATAGTTTGCCCTCAAATCTATTTTTATTGAAAACACACAGCAAAGATTACAGTCATAGAAAGTTCTGTAAACAAGACAATTTCATCAACTTTATCTTAAGAAAAAAAACAAAAACAAAACCCCAAAAGAAACTCAAAATGACTTGCTGAATGAAGACTGTGAATAGTAATTTTTTTTACTGCCTTAACAAAAATAATGACATACACCTTCAGCATTTCTTTTTCCAAATTTACTTGACAGAGGTTAAAATATTGCTTTATTCTGACTCAACATACAACAGCACTGGATGATCGATTGTGCTATTTTGGGAAGTCTTGAGACTTGTGAACTGGGAAGTCTGGGGCACATTAATAAATTTAACAATTAATTTGCTGCAAAGGAATATTTTAATACATTCTGTATATACTGTAAATTTTTTTTTTAATCAATCTTCTGACATTAACCAGGGAAGGCAATTTAGCAATTATTTATTATCGTTCATTTTCTTTTTCCCCATGAATAAGCAGATATTTTAATACTAATAAAACCAGTAATGTGTCTGTCACTGAACCCAATTAATTGCATTATTGGCATATTGTGTTACAATTTATGGGGGGAGGAGGGACTCAAAAGAAAGCAAATGCAAAAAAATGCTTATAATGCGATTGGGACACGGCAACCAGGAAATGACGTTTCTTCTCTAAGGCCTTAATCCCCTGCAGGGAGTCATTTGGTAGAAAACATCTGCTCTTACATGGCCCCATTAGAATCAGATCTGTGCATGCTTGTGGGTCTGCCCACACGGAACCATCTGCAGGGTTGAACCTTAATGTTCACAAGCCTAAGCCACGATTAATTAAAGTGACTGGAGTACTGAAAGCAGGAACAAATTAGGGCAGCGTGGACACTTATCGGCTGGATTTTGATCATACTGGATCTCCCTGACTCTTCTCTGAAAAAAACCATAATAAAAAATAAGTTAAAAAAATACGCACACACTCAGAAGTGCTCCTTGAGAGCTTACAAATACCTTCAAAGTATAACAGTTTAGAAATGTTGAGGGGTTGGTAACGAACAACAGAGTTTATGTTCCCGCTCAAAAAAACCCAAACCCAAACCTATCATAATACACACTTCTGCGCTTTCTCTTGTTCTTCCTTGCTCTCCACCAAGGCAGCTCTGTTAGGCAAAGCTCAGAAGATGGAGCAGCCATGGGCTCCTGACCACTGCATCTCTACAGACCCCAATCCCACTCCACACTTGGCCAAACCCAAAGCTCCCAATGTTTCCATTGACTATCTTGGGCTGACTGCCACACTAAAGTAAGGTCAAGAGTTAAGCATCTGGCTCAATTTAGGGATCTATTATCATTCCACAGTAGGTACCAGACCTCAGAAGTAGATGTCTGCGTGCCTACTATGAACCTGGAACCAAGAGGAGAGAGGGAGAGGGGATCAGGTCTGTACCAGGGTGATGGGACTCGCTCCCCAGGGTCTGAATCCCTGGCCAGCAGCTCCCTGCAGCGCTGCCCTGAGACCAGAAATGAATCTAAGAATGATCTTGGCCTTTGCTGAAAAGAAGATGCATAGCCTAAGCCTTCGGACAGCTGAACGGGACAGTGGTAAAATGCTCTGTAACTGAAACCGTATGTGTAATCCTGCCTAGAAAGCACCTGATGTACGCTTCATCCCTCCTGGAACTTTTCCCTTAAAAAAATATTTTGTTAAAAAACACTATGATATGAGGGCGATTGACTATTTGGTTTCTTCTAAGTAGATGCTCTTAAATTAATGCATATAAATAATTTGTATTTAATTTCCTCCCTTCCTGTTTAGCAAAGCATCGAATGCACAGATCTCTCGTTTCCCCTCCCACAACCCCCACACAAAGTCACTTGGTCAATACCGAGTCTCTTTGCGTTTCGCTTTTTAAGACAAATTGTGCCTCTCGCTCTGACTTGGCCATGGGGCTCATGGGCAGAAAGGCCGTGTTTTCGCTCGCGCTGCTCTCTGCTTCTACGCTCGCCAGTTCATAGTCCTCCGACCGCCTCGCGTCCGTCAGAATCCGAATCTGCTCCTGCACAGTTTCTAGCAATATTTTGACTTCGTGTTGTTCTGCTATAAGACAATTACTGACTGGGGAACTCACATTGACAAGTTCAGCTGAATAGGAGTTTTTGCACCATTTGATGCCTGTTACTTCAGAAACATTTTGCATTTGCATGCAGGCTTCGTCCAAGCCCACAGACGGGATGATGGGAACGGAGTTGGCCCTTGAAGATGAATAGCTGACCAAGTCCTTCTGATCCACGTTATTAAAATAAGGGGTTGTCTCTCTTGAAGGCAGTTGCATATTTATTGAAGTATTCTGAGGAGTTTTTAAACCACTGGATGAATACCTGGAAAGAGTAAAAAGAAGTTTTTTGTTGTACATCAAGCGATCAGATGCAACCGGCAGCAGGAACGCTGTATGAGATTCAGTGAACTGTGCCCAAAAGATACATGTCATTTTTCCCTCACACTAGGAGCACTTGGTAATAGTGGGGCCCTGGGGAAAACAACAGACTCTGGAGACCTGGTTTTGATTCTCAGATCTGCTGGTGGCAAACCGCTGCTTTTCTCTCAATGTCATTTTGCCCACCAGTATATGAGAATAATGACAATTCCTTTTTAGAAGATTTCAGGACTTATTCTGTATTGTCAATTTTCTTTGAAATTAAATTTGAAAATTTGTTCCTACATTCCTAACTGGGGAAATGGATTGATGCTTTCTTCAACACCAGAACTCTCAATGTCAAGTGGCTATTTTAGGAAAAAAAAATTTAAAAGTTGCAGGAAAAAAGAGCTTAAAACATGGTTGTGTAGTCTTTCTTTACATCGAAATGAAAGTCTGTGCTCCCCTTCAAACAATCAGAGCATCTAAGTACCTCTGAAAAACATGGGGTTTTTTTCCAATAGCCCATACTCCTAACGTTGGCCTGATTTTTTTTCTTAGATCTCATCTGGAAATACAGGTAATATATTGGGCTTGAGCAAATGTCTGTGCTTTCCTGATATTACAATCCTGTGTTTCAACCCACACCCCCCACTTTATCCTCCATTAATACATATCATAGCATGATTTTATTTATCGTGAGGCAACTTTGATGAATTTTTATCAACATTTCCATTTTGTTTCAAAGCCAAATTCATTATTCTGATCAGAAAGTGTTTTCTTTTACAGGAAATACTTAAAAAACAGAAATGGAAAGTATACTAAATATAAAATAAAGGAAACAATGACCAAAAAAAAAAAGATGTTTCCCATCTGAGAAGTAGTATTACTGGAAATTTGGTCCTCTAAGAGTTACTATATCTAGTCATGATTTCCAAGGACCACAGACATCACCTCAATACCGGAACATATTTTATTTATAATCAGCTTTCTGATCATATCACTATTTAATAAGGCAAGCTAATGGTGAACTCTAATATGTTTTATCCATGAACAAGGAAAGCAACATTTAGATCTGTTGTGGAAGCAGGTGCTTTAAGCTCTGACTTGAAGGGTATTTTTCTGAAAGCTCCTTAAGCCTGTGGACTTCACTAGGGATATCCTTCTACCCTTACCTGCCTTGCTGCTTTTTGGCATTAGCAGAAAGAGAACTAAGGAAAAGAAAGTGAATGGCATGAAACAGCCATAGTCCAATATTAGCACACAATGCTAATTAACTGGAAAGGCTTCCTTTGGCCCCATCCTTCTGGCAAGCTGTCAGCCAGGAGAGAGGAGGAGATATCTTTAGGCTCATTTCCAGCAGAGCACCGCTGACTTGTAATTAACTCGTCTATGGTGACAGCGTGTTTGTACAACTGCTTGACACATTAACCTGTACACGTGCAGGCATGCAGTTCTGCACAGCCCCTGCACCAACACTCTCCAGGCATCCCCAAAAGACCAGCTGGGAGCTCTGCGATAAGGAGGTGCTGTGATCTTTGCTGCTATCTGATGGAAAGAGATACTGCTTTGGGAGGTGGGACCCAGGGGAATAATATAGCAAGCGGCTTTTTTGGACGTGTGCTAGAAACTTCTTGTTCATGCCATACAGCTGCATTTAGGTTTTACATCTCAGCCAGCTGGGACTCAGCTTTTGGTTAATCACATTTTCACTATGCTTAGACACATTGTAGCCGTTTATGTAGGGCCTTTTTACAACAGACTTCAAGAATCAGTATGAATGAAATACTGATCAGGGATATTATTCCCGAGGGAGGACAATTAAAAAAAAAATAAATGAAAACAAAAGAGTGCAGACCTTTGGGTTGTGCCCATTCTTGTTTCCTTTGCTTATTATATAATTGTTCAAACGACTATAGCTGGAGAGATCGCATCAGTTGCATTATTCCCTTTTTTGGTAATTCAGGCCCTAAATATATTCTGGGCTGCACCCTGAAAACAAAGGGAGTGAATGTTTTTAATGACTTTCACATGCAATGGATGTATTATATGGATGATATATAAGCAAAAACAAGAAAAGACTGAATTAAAATGTGTTTGGTGAGAAAACAGTAACATTTGCCAATTCCATAATAGAGATTCAATTATTCTTGCTATTTTGAAAACTAATTGGCAGCAACATTAACATGTAACGCAATACCTGGCATATTTCCATAATATTTTTTGAAGTAAAGATAGACACACAAATTTTATGCCAGAATTACATGTTTCTGTCCTGTGCTCACAGGGCTTTCAAAGGAGGACTGAGGTTGAACTAAAGCATGTACACTGTGCGCAGTAGGCATGGTCTTAAACTAGTAGGGATATTACATCTAAACCATGTGAGATTCAGCTTTTGGTTAATTACAAACTGATCCATGCTCCTACTTTGAACATCCAATTGCTGCTGTTTTCAATAGACTGAGACTTAGACCTATAATTGCAGAATCTTAATTACATTTTCCTGTAATTAACTTTCCCAGAACTATAGTTCCTCCTAAGATATCTTTTTTTAATCTGAAAAATTATTTTGTCTAAATAAATCCATTCATGTGCATGTATTTCAAAGCGCAGCTCTCTCTCCACCCTTTTTCTAAAATCAAGCAAAAAAAAAGAAACTCAAACATTTATAAATATGCAACAGCAATTACATTATACTCAGACAGTGTTTAAGAGTTTAAATTAAAGAATGAAACTGAAAGAAGCATAATAATTTTACTGCCCCCTCAAAATAGATATTAAAGAGAGACAGAAGGGATCAGAACTTAAAATACAAAGTGTTTTTAATTTAGCATAGTACCAATAGCTTTGCTGTAAGCCCCATTGCTAGAGGTGTTCAGTACATGAGACTGACGACAAGGTCTGTTGAGAGGGTTGGGAGTCACTCCAGTGGCATCACCAGGCTTTGGTTCAACCTTGTAAGCACATATTCCTATATATACACCCCCCGCTTTCTACCTATAGATATGACACGTTAGGTCTTGTATACATAAAGACATGTGTATCTGTATACATACGCATTCCCAGGCTATAAAGCAGCACTTCTAACACTTCATACTGTGTGACGCAAACAGCTGTCACCGGAAACATTTGATCAAACCACTGTCCATTTAACCACACGTAAACTCCTGACACCCTCAGGGACTGGAATTGATCTCCGAGATATGACTATCATGGAGATTTTTTTTTTCTTTAAGCCCCTCATTTCAGGCAGGTTTTTCAGCTCCTTCAAGCAGCATACTAATCAAATAGCTGATATTTGACTCCAACTCTGCAGATACTAGATCCTGTTGAAAATAATGGCATCTGGCGCTTCCTGAAGGCAGCAAAAGTTTTCTTCTCAAGGTGGGATGAGAAGAGGAGCAGTTTTACCGGACTAGACAAAAGTTAATCAGGTAAATTAGCCTCTTTTCTATAAAATATAAACACAAAAATTCTGACTAAACTTCAGCCAGAGCTGCTGATGGATAAACGTCAGCCTCACAGAATTAGGGACATAAACCACTTTGATTTTTACATCCCTATAGGGAAAGACAGAGGTGAGAAGGGAGAAGAAAGGAAGGAGTGTAAGTTCTGCAGAGGACAATGGAACTTTTCATTTGGGTTGGAAATCTAATGAGAATACCAACACTATGAAACTAGCAAGTACTTAGACAGTGAAAAGTCACCCAATTGTGGGGAAACCTCTTCCTAAGTTAGAAGAATTCTACATGAAGTAGAATTAGTGAATTATTTCTTACTTTTGTTCAGGGATAAGATCTGTACTTCTATTTTGGTTGAAAAGATTACTTCATTGCTGCAATACAAAAGAACTTGCCAAAAGGTTTGTTACGCTCTTAAAAGCCTTCATTTTCATAAAAACCACTATCAGTAAAGCATTGTGATAAAGCAAGATCAAAGAATTCCTTTTGTTTTCATGCCTAACACTGACATTAAAAAATTCACTTCCATGGGTACTAGTTGAAGACTTTTGGAACCGTATTTGTGATATACACATGCTGCCGTGACTCCCTGTCACAACACACCCTTTGATGCACTTGGAGAACTCCTTCAGAGAAAGGTCCCATTGTTAGGTCTAATTCTACAGACATCCCTAGCGCACAAAATACAGATGAAGTGCTCTAATGGTCTGAGGCCAGAAGTGGTCACAGTCTGGTCCAAATATCAACCCCTTGCAGAATTGCAAACTTAAAATATAGGCCAGTACAAGATGATGCCTGTAATATCCCACACTCATTTGCTATAGAAGAGTAAATACAATGACCAACAAGACAGCTTGGCTGGTTTCTAACTCACTTCTCAACCTAGGAAGGGGCCACAGAACTATCCAGAGCCTGTGTTACAAGACACGGGCACTGAAGGGGGAAGGCTCTTAGCCCTGCCCCTTTCAGGAAGGGTTGCATTCAGAGTCACAACTTTCATAAGGATTTATACACACATTATCATACAAACAAACAATAATATATTTCCTGCAAGAAGCAATAAATAAGTTTTTCCTTAGAAGCAGCAAATAGTAACAATGAATGAAGTATGAGACAAGTTTGTACTTTTTAAAAGAAGTCACCAGACACCCAAACCTTTTGCTGCTCTGCCTCCTCCCTTCCTAGCTAAGCCCTGTTCTTGGCCTGTCTTTACTAATTGCTGAGACCAATGTTGTTAAATAGATTGAGCTACGGACGTTTAGTGAGTCAAGGGCCCCTCTCATGGAGCTCCCCAGACTGGGGAATCCTGCTGCAGGTTGGGATGTGGCCAGAGAGGTGCTGAGGAAACACAGCAATGACACACACATGTAACCACGCTTATTCCGGGCCAGCACTTGTGGCTGTCATTTCCCAGGAGGACAGAGTGGGTAGCGATAACAGCTCCTTTCTTCCCCAAGGAAAATTAAACACATAGGTGACCTCAGTTCTGCACTTCATAAAGCCAGTTCTGATACCAAAGCGTGCAGCTGCCTGCTCCCAGTGTAACCCTCCGCTTCGCTGCACTTAGCTGGGACTTATCCATGTCCAAATGAAACTGGTTTTATTTTTTATTTTTATGTTTTATTCCATACCAGATACCACTCCTATTTTTACATATAATATACTTGTAGTGATTCTGGAAAGTCTTCGGAAATCTATAGGGATATGTAAATATTATACAAAATACCTCAGCAACTGCAAAAGACTTCAAAGGCAGCTGCAGGTGCTCAGGAGCACCTCTGAAATTCAGACCTTATGTACAGCTGGAGCTCACATTCAATATTATAATAAGCTGAATTTAAAAATAAAAAATATTGGATTCTTTGTGCATTTTCAAAGACAAACCTATGTGAAGTGATTGGTCTCCAGCAAACATACTTCACAATCTACAGAGATTCATTTAAAAATACATGAAAGATGGACTTCTGAATTATTTTCTCTTATTTGCCCACTGCTGATGGAATCAAAAAATGCTGTGTAAAAGTTACTAGAACATCACGGCACCGCTAGAAAAAGCATCAGTTATAAAGAGTAACACTGTCAATCACTTACAGTTTGTTCTAATCACTCCTACAGCCTTCAAAAGGCTTAAAAAGAGCAGCCAGCCAAATAAAACTGCATTACCTTCAAAGAGCCAGTATGCTGAAAACATTCCTCTGCTTTCAGAACTATAAACCGTGGATCCACAGTACATTACACCAGAGTCGGAAGGACTATAACGGCAAAGCATATTAACCGCTTAACAGCAGCCACTCGCAAACTGGCTCACTGCAGTTATGTTCGTGCTTACCCGTGACAAGGTATTGTGTCCTGGTCTGTGATCCTTGACTCTTCTAGCTGTTGATATGCTGGTCCTGTAATTCCATTGAACCTACCCCGAGGTAAGGGAGGAGTCCTCCGAAAGGCATTTCTATGTAGCATCCCGCTTTTTTGTCCTGGGCTGCAGCATGAAGAGAGACTTCTAGGAACAACACCAAGAGTACAGTAAAAATTATCAAAGCAAAAGTGTAATCTTCTGAAAATTAAAGATTCAGGGTTAATAACTCATGGATTACTGTTTCTATAAACTTTGCTGTGATGGTCTATGACATCAGTAGAAATTCTTTATGGAAATATTGCACTATAACCCACAGTTAGCTGCTGTCTATGCAGTATTTAATACACCACCTCTCTTGTAGGAATGAAAGTAATTGACTGGTATATTAAATGTCTTCTTGTACTTGATGAAGGATGCTTCTTTTTTTTTTCCATGCTGCATACCATAATCCCGCTATATAGAGTCGACTCCTCAGACAGTATAAATGAACAGCATCATACCTACAGCTGAGCTCAAAATCAGATCTTAGAGTCCACTATCAGCCTACGGGGTCTTGCTTCCTGAGACACCAACATTAAATTGGAAGAAATATTAAGTGAAGAATGTAAGTGAAGCTTATCAACTGCAGCTTAAAGAAATCATCTAGGACAAGTTTTCTCCATGTTGAACAAAATTTCATTTCTATATTGTTTTATTATTGTTTTATATACATTGATTGTTTTCTTCTTTATACATAGGTAAATACTGTTTCTTTATACGATACAATACAAACTTGAATATGAAAAAAACAAGTAATACTTTTCTACTTATTTTAGAAAACTGCTTTTGTAAATAACAACTTTGTACTGTTTCGGAAGGAGAATGGATTTTTTCTATTTCATACAGGAATTAAAAGTATCTAGAAACTAGATTTGGTATACTAACCATAAATTCATCTGTTGCTAATGCAAAAATAAGGGAACATAGAATTAAGGCATTCCTACTGTTAACAGTAGGTCACAGTACTGCATGGTATGACTGGCTATCCATTTTCCAGCTACTCCTACTTCACTTGATGTCTCTTGGGTCTCAGAAATTAGTATGTATTACCTAATATTCTGTCACATTCTTAGCAATGTTTTAATATAGGTTTTGTAGATGCATTTCAAGAATTATTATTTTTGGTTACATGAATGATTTGAACTTCTGATACGATTCAGCTATGCAAAAGACTTTTGATAAGTTTGCTTCTCTTTTCCTATTATAACGTGACTTAAAAGCAATCTGCATTTTATACCTAGTGGGCACTTTATTTATGGTTAGGGCCACATCTACTCCCAAAGCAATTCTTGCTTGGACCAAATATGTTGGACAAACTCTCTTGGTGCATTTCCATTAAACCCAACCTTTCCTCCCCAAAGTCAAAACATAAAGAAATTGAACAGTCTCTATCCTACTGCTCAGGCTAGCAGTGTTCCACCATGGTCTCTGCTCTGTTCTCTTCCACACTTTAACTTTCCTGGTTCTTTTTAATTGAAAAGATCAATAACCCATAGCAATAGCACTCCCTCTAGGATTTTTCATGCTTCCTTAAATAGGTTTTCCCTTAGCTATTAAGGAGGCTGCAAAAAAACTTTTAAAAACCCCCAAAGTACTGGCCTTTCAATTCTGAGGGCCAAGTTCAAGTTGTGAGTTGCAGTTCATGTTCTGTAAAATAGCACTGCCACTTCACAAAACAACTGACAATTTCTGCTCAGGAGAGTCTGAGATTATTACAGCAGGGGATCTTAAAAGATGCAGCTGAATGAATAGTTCGTGATGGATAATGAATTTCAGGGGGTTTTATTGATTGCAGCATATTCATCTATGTAGTAGAAAAGTCAACAAACTGATTAATTTAACAGACTTTAGATTGATTCCAAATATGCGAGACTCAAAAGGCATTGTTTAATTGTGGTTGGTTTGACGCCCTTGCACATCTTCCTTCTTGGATGACAGCACACGGGCTCCCATCTAATAACATGCAAATTCACAAAAGCTCTGCGTTACATAGATGTCACTGAAACACACACAGGTACACCTGAGATAAGTCATATAAACTGCAGCAAAGACGCATGTAAATGCCCTGTCTGTGCTTCCTTCAACTTGCACTGAAACTCTCATTGCTACGTCTAACACCAGACACTACAGGCTGCTGAAGGTGCGTGGGCTGGTTAGACTGAAGGGATCTGGCACATGCCAACATCTTCCTGCAATCACAGCAGCTCCAGCACCGACAGAGCTTAAGCAATCGATTTGTTGCTAATGTGAGGTTCTTATGCTTTCAGAGTTTCTGACAGAAATACCTGAGAGGAAAAAGAACAAAGATAATATGTGGTCACGGACAAGACAAATTCACTACGAAGGACCAGGAAATATTTACAGATAGTGCAGCTGCATGCTGCAGGATAATGCTCATTTCTGGAAGCACCAAAGACAAGATAGTAACAATTTGTGTTAAAAGGTCTATGAATAAGTAACTCCAGTATAATAAAGTTTTTCCTTTTTCACAAAACTGCTATGAATGCCAGCATACTCTTCCTCCAAAACTGTGAATATAGTCCCTCTCAGGCTTCTGCTCTATTGCTCACGTGAAGTGTTCCTTTCTCTGACAAAGTGTTCCTCTCCTTTTGGATTTATTCAGGGAAAACATTATGGTTTCTTCCTCCCTGCATTCCAGTCTAACTGGGTAAAAGAATCCAGCCCACATTACTGAGCTGTTCAATAAAACAGACTAATAATGAAAGCTGTAGCAGATAGGTCTTTAAAATCAATTACTCCAGAATAACAAAAATCAGAGTATGTTTGAACTGGTTCACACGTTATGCATAAACTAGGGAGAAATATAGTTCTGATGAATTAATGGTTCGAAAGAAGTAGTTCAACCATCTCTAAAGTTAATTAAGTATTTGGGACTCGGTGTTGGAAATTGTTTTGTGTGAAAATTTTCCTTAGGTTGAGCAACCAAGTAAAAACGAAGTCTATCTCATCAGGTGGAGTATTCTCTTCTCAAGGCACATACACACTCCCAAGGGTAGGTAACCATGTTCATGAAGAGAAGAAGACTTGCAGTGAATTTACAGTAACTCTGGGAATCCTCCTGCACTACTTTTTAGTTAATTACTAAAGAACATCGATTATACATCACATTATGAACACATTCAGAAAGAACTTTGTCAACAGAAACATGAAGAGAATTAACAAGAGGATGACAATTAAAGTGTTGAAACTTTAGATGGGATCCCAATCCTTCCCTTCTTGTTCAATAAGCACAATGGAGGTACAGAAATAGTGACTATAACTGTGATTGTGTGTATATCTATTTTACTTATTCATGATTGCAATTCATTAAAATAAAGATGCTAAGTTGAGGGAGGAAGGAAAGTTCTAAAACTCACTGTGAATACTCTGGCTCTGTACCTGCAAAAACTATGCAGAGAGGCATATTATATTACATGCTATATTACATACTGATCATGAGATGCAAACATTAGTGTTGAAGACATGGGTTTTGTCCTTGCAAGACAGAAACAGTAAATACGTACCCCAATGATAGCTGCTAGATAGACTATGTCTTCCAGTGTTCCCTAGAAGCCACATTTTCAGGCTGCTGGACAATCTACTTCTACCCTTTGTACATATAAACTACTCAGACTTTCAACTAATTTTCAGTTTTAATAAAAAGGGTCTGTTATACCTGAGAACATAAGCATCTCTCAGTAAATACCGTGCAACAATAATAACGCTGTATCACAAAGCCCTTTTGTCAAATTATTTACAAGAACAAGATGACTCACAATAAGCACGTCTCTGTTGGAGCCTGTGTTACAGATGGCTCCCCAAAGGGAGAAAGTTAGCATAATATTTGGGAATTCAACAAAGCTGTATGTGATTAAGATAATACTAAGATTGTAAGGAGATTATTATGCCAAAAAAGCGCCATGGCATAAGAGAACTGATCCTAGTAGTTTTATTCCTTTTTTCTCTACAGCATTCTGTATTCCAAGCATTTAAATATCACTCTTTTCCCATGTCTGATTACTGTCTAGGAAAACTTCTAATCTACAATGGCACTATGACCTGTGTTTCCTAGCTCGTGTTTATGAACAGTTACATCTGGTCAGGTACTCAGCCCAGGTGATGGACTGGGACTGTACCCTGCTGTTTGCAAAACTCTATTATCCCTTCACATATGCAGGAGAAGCTTCCCAGCAGCCAGCCTATACCTACAAATCTACTCTTGTTTTTGGAAATGGGTGCATTGTTGCTTCCATTATATATTCACATATTCAGTAATAGCATGTGCTGGGGCTGATCGGGGGCTTTGCAACTCAATATAATTCCTTCAACCTACCTATATCATCTGGTCCATCATGGTTCCAACATACTAAATTGGACACATACAATAGGAAAAGGGAACAAAGCATTCGAAGGTATCTCAGTGGCACTGAGTTTAATCATCTGCCACAACTTCATCATATACTTCCTATAGTGCATCAATCAACCGTCATCCTAGAATTAGAATGATAACCAGGCTACTACTCCAGAAGGTTATTCTATATTGAAAACTTTGAGGCTTCTTTTCAGTGTAAAATTATTTATGTTGAGCATACATCTATTTGTCATATGTGCCACCATACTCCTTCATTTTAAATAGGCCTTTTACTCCTCATTAAGCTTTCTCTGATGTATTCATAAGCAGCAGTCATATACTCTTTTCAGTCTTCTGAACTGAAGACTGAAACGAGAGAGACTCTCTAATGCTGTCTTTGGAACACAGATTATTCATTCCTCATATTAGCTCATGAATGCAATTTGAGTCCATAGTAATCAAGCGACCATTTTAACCAGGTGAGATAATAGTGGTATATTCTCATGCTATATTCAAATGAAGTGACAAGTGTCTCATAAAGTGATTTTAATTTTTCTGACTTTCTGATGGAAATGTCTTGATTAATACTTCCTCTCATCCCATTTATCTTTTGCATGTCTGCATCACTTTGTAACTTGGTTTTCTTTGTAGTATATACTGAATCTTTTCTTCCTCATTTGCTTCTAAAATTTCGTTATTAGTTCCCAAATGCCTGACCTTGTAGTTAGTACTGCTGAACTTCAATCCACCTGTTATGCCACTCTTCAAAGTTATTCAATTCATTCTTTATAACTAGATCCTTATCTGCACTGAGTCTATCTTTTAAAAATTTTTTCAGTATTTTCCAACTTTTTTTATATCAGTCATGCACAAAAGCATTAAACAAAATTTGTCCCCAATGTCGACTACTACTTTGAGAGCTCCATTAGTGCTCCAGTGGTGAATGTCTTCAGCCCAGCGCTTACCTTCTCAATGTAACTCCTTATTATCTTTCTTTCAACCACCTCTGTATATGTGCATTATATTTTTTCTGCCCTTCTTTACTTTCTCCCATTAAAGGCATTAGACACATGACAACAAATCAAACATTGTCTAAGGCTGTGTGATCTAGCTCACCTACACCAAATACAAAGAAAGTCATTAGTGTAGTGTTGCAGGAACTGCTTCTGGTAAACCTCATGAGAATTTTTAGCCTTTTTAACATCTATCCACAGAATCTGCTACCCCCACATTTGCCCTAAAGTCTTGACTAGTCTAACTCAACATAATAGGTCTTCAGTTCCTTTGATAAATTTTTCCTCTTCCTAAATATTTGACATTTTCTATTCTATCCTATCGTTACATGGCACAGCTCCCATTTTGATATATTTTGCTACCAGATTTGAAATTTCATGAGCCAGTTCTCCTTCCAGACTTCTTTGATCAAGATTAACCAGATCATCTTGACTTGACGGCTTTGATTTCTGCATTTTACTTCCACTTTGACTGTAGTAATGTCTATTTTAATACATTTGATTCCATTTCCATTCTACCTCTGCCCTCAAATAATCATCCTAACTAAAAAATTAAATATGCTCATTCAGGATTGCCCTAATTGCTTCACATATTATCTCTGTCCCACCATCAGCTTTGCTTCTTCCTGTATAGTACTCCTCTTCGTCATACAGCAAGAACAATTGATTGCTTTCAGTATTACCAGTAATTCTTAACTCTCAACGATTCCTGGAAACGTTCACTTCAAGCATGACAGCTTGCCCTCTGTGATATAGTTTGTTTCTTCTCCTACACCCCATTCCTCCTAGGCATTCTTTTTAGTAAGTTTCTCCAGCAAACTATATTCTTTCCTTGGAAAAATATCAGATCCCTTATTCTTCCTTTGCCTTTACATTCTTAGTTGATTTAGTTTATCAATACTTGTTCTTTGAAATTTAATAGCCTTATTTACAGAATAACTTAAATTTACTCTTTCTGTTAATTTAAGCTAAATCAATTATATTGGAAGCATAAAGAATAAAATGCTTACTAAATTAAAAAAAAAGTTTTTACTGTGTTTTTTGTGGTGTTAAAATCTCATTAAAATGTGAACAAATTATTGTGAATTTCAGAGTAAGTTGATCCTATTTTGGCATTTTTGTAAGACAACACAACTGCTCTAGGCTGAAAGCCTCTGCGTTTGGCTTTCATCATGGTATTCTCTGAAATGAATCCCTCTAAAATCAATGATGACTGAATCAATGAATGAAAGTCAGGATGACTAATTACCAAGAAAACTGCTATTCAAAGGCATCACAACTCAATCCCATAATTAATAAAACTCTAATTTGTTTCTATCTGTTAGTAATTAAGACAGTACGGGTTTTCTTCTTACTAAAACCAACAAATAATTCGAGATGAACTTTTGAACGCATTGTATATTTTAAAGGAAGTTTACTGATTAAACACATTTGTTACTTTCCAGTTCTGACAGCACTTAGAGTTGTTTTACATACACAAGCAAGTGATGTAAACTTCTTCTACCTGCGTAATACAGGTGAAATATTTTAGAACTAAGATTCAGTGGAGATTCAAATTTTCAATTCAATCTCTGCAGTAATTCTTAGCATGCAGCTGAGGTTGGTAGAGGCAGAAAATTACTATTACCTAGTAATTTGAGTGAAATAACTAGGTCATCTCGGTCAGTCAAATTTCAGCAACCCCAAATGATTCTCCACCTTGATAATCTTACTGCCAGGCCAAAACTGTATTGGTTTTAGGAACTGGAAATAGACAGTTCCTGATTTTAAGAAATAATCACCCATCATTAGTGCCCTTGAAATCACCAGCAGAGAAAACAGCTCTGGATGTGGAACAAAATATATCTGTAGCAAGCAGAAACAAAACAATAATATAGTTTAACAGCAGCATAAAAGAGAGAACCTGCAGAGTTGCTGTAATTTTTCCAGGTTTATGGCAGGTTTGGAATGGAATTAAGGGATGTTTAGGACAAAATGTATCCCAGTAAAAAAAGAATTTTCCTCATTTGGTCACATTTGACCATTTGGCCAAAGTAAAGAAAGTGAGCAAATTAGGAAGCTGTCACATGGTGCATAAAGACAGCTTTATAAGTCCAAAATGTTCAAATCTGCTGCATATTTTATGAAGCAAGAGCCTTGTATAATAAATCTTAAGTTATACAACTACAAAAAGAATTCTTTATAAATTAAGCTAGTCATTTCACATCTTAAAACAGTTCTGAAGCAAAGAGTTTTAAGATAGACCAGTGCTTGACATCTGCAAATAAGATGACTGCTGGGCTTTTTTTTTTGGTTGGTTGGGTTTTTTTTGTTTTGGTTGTTTTTTTTTTTTTTTTTTTTTTTTTAAAAAAAAAAAAAAAAAAAAAAAAAAAAAAAAAAAAAAAAAAAACGTCAGAATAGCAGCCTGAAAAAAAACCAGTAAAACCAACAGCACTTGTATTCGTTTAACATGTACATTCACTATTGCTGCTACTTAAAAATTAGAGAAAGAAATCCATATCAAGTGAGTTCTGTATGAAGAATTTATTTTTTTTTAATTAAAAAGTGAGAGTTCATTAGATGTCAGACGTGCAACCAGTCAGAAGGGTGTATGACCCAGGCACTGCACTGACAGCCACGCACAGCACTGCCCAGGGTCAATTTCCTGTCTAACCACTAGATGGCAGAGAACACACAGACCACGATTATTTCTGTTCAATAGAAAGCTGTTTACAATTCCACACAGCAATATCATATACTAAGAACTGTTTTGTTGGGTTGGTTTTTTTTTTTTTTTTTTTTTTGTTTTTTTTGTTTTTTTGTTTTTTTTTTTTTCTGGGAAAGAGAGATTTTGTGTGCAAAGGTGTTGAAATGAGCAATCTGGGATTATGCATTAGTTCACTATAAATTCAGTGTGCCTTACTCTGTAATTTCCCTATGGAAAACATTTATTTTAAGTGATGTTCATAAATAAAATATTTTCAGTCTTTAATTTATTTCCATTTATTTTTTAAGCTTAGGTAATGTCATGGTAAAGCACCTATTTCAAACTTGGATATTGCAACTGTGTTATTAAAGGTAAGGGAATGTCACTGTGTTTTTTCTGAACTTCACCCTTTGACTAAATGGAGATAAAATTTCCCCCAAAACTACAGTGGGAAGCATTCTAGGCAGCACTTCCATAGTTTGTCTATGATCAGCAAAATTATTAAGCATATTTTGAAAATCTCTGTGTAATAAGGAATAAACCCTTAGAAATGGATCTGACATGACAGTTGGTGTTATTTTTTCATGCCAAATTAAAGGCTTAAGTAAGGTAAAAGTAGTTAGAACCCAAATATCCCTTCCTGGCTCATAGGCTGCACTTTGGTAGGTTAAGGAAATCATTCATCCAGAAGAAAAGGAACATGTAGATGACTGGGGACTGCAATGAAAATGCATCAAATACTACAGAAGCTAGATTATACCCTCATGCAACCTCAGGCTTCTTAAGAAATTTTAAAAAATAAGTCTTCCCCTCCTGATTATCTAGCTAAAAAAAATCTGAACTCATTTTTCTCAGCCTTTTTTCTCAGTGTGCTCTGCACTGCCATTCCACAACACTATTTCTTATGATGGGTGACTTTCCTCTTTTTTTTCCCCTTGGAAACAACTATGCAAACTTTTCAAAGACTAGTTTTCAAAGGCCACCATGTATTCATAATTAAGCCATTATTCACTTCAAGTATTATTTGCTTAAAGAACCAATGAGAAAGGCTGGAATTTTGCAACCATGTCTTTCTGCAACAAATGAGTCATTAACTTCATGAACATCAATAACGAAAGTCTTGTTTTTAACGGTTTCCCGAACTACTACTGCTCCGTGTCTACAGCTTGGATGGTGTCTTTAAATGCTTCCTCTAGGACTTGTACAAAACGCAGATAAAGTCATTGAGCATTTTTATTGCCTTTTATGTCTGCAGATAAAAAAATGCTTGGACATCTGCTTAATGAGCCAGCTGAGGCTCTGTTGGTACCATACCATCCAGCATCTCTCCAAGTCACAGCACAATAACCCCAGACAGGTATCAGCAGTTCAAGACCATCCCTCGGCAGCCTGCCCAATCTCCCGTCAGACAGCTGTGTGCTTACCTGTGTTGCTTGATGGGCTGGGTTCCTCTGTCGGGAGACAAGGCCTCTGGGAAAGACTGAGGGCCTGAAAAACTAGACTCCATAACTTTGTCCAGAATAGGCCCAGGATGCCTATCTGGTTTTGAATACTGTGACACAGAGAATAAAATTAATCAATACACAAAAGGCTAAGTACATTGTTGATGCTATTCAATCAGAATTCATATCAGAGCAGGGTAAGAAGTGCTCTAATGCATTTTTAAATTAAAATTAGGCATTGCAAGTAATATATTCATTCACTATTGTTTACATAGCGGAAAGTGCTGGTGCTCATTATCCCCATTACCTCCTCCACATCAAAATGCTGATATCTGCATTAGTAGCAAAATTACTGACTGATCTGCCCATAATGATAGGGAAAACTGATTCCTTTGACTAAAAGCCTAGTTTTTTTGTGGCTGAACAAGCAGACTGAGATCAAGAAACACATCTCAGAGGATGGTCAGCACCTTCTAGGGTCCTTTGGTAATTTCAGTCAAACAGTGCTTTTATCAGCATGCGTAACTATGAAAACCAAACTGAAAGAGCATTTCTATCATCAGATAAGTAGAAAAATATCTGAATCCTATCCATAGAGCCAGATACCCCTCTGAACAAGTCTGAAACTTTTGACCTATGAGTATCTGTGCTAGTAAGAACAGTGTAAACATGATTCTTCTTGTGACAGTTGTAGGCGTAGGGCAGTCTCTGGGCACATAACAAGACACAAAGGTCTGTAAAGCAGACACCAGACATGAACAAGTACAGATTTTCTTCTTGCTTTGTGATTCAACTGGAAATTCAGCAAAAAAAGTGTCTGATCCTGAATGGAGCCAGAAGGTAAAAGTATAAAAAAGCTGCATTTTATCTTGGAAGAAGAATCAATGTTGTTGGTGGTTACTGGGCAACATCTCAGAGATATGAGAGATTAACTCACATTTTCACTCAAGTATGAAAAATACTGCATTATGAAGACTTTTTTGTTGCATCACAATGACCTGCACTAGAACTAATTGGCCTATTTTTCTGTACTGAGGTTTTATTTTAGTCCTAGATACCTAGATATCCTAGATAGATTTTTACAATAAACTGGTATTGTGGAAGCTATTGTATGATTGAATATTTTCAAAAGAAAATACAAAATAAAATAATAATAATGTAAAAAAATCAGTGGTAAAAAATGCCATGCTACGATACAAGAGTATAAAAAATCATGGAGAAGATAGATTTCTTTCAAAGTACAGTTCTTCATAATTATTTTGTTATAAAATAATCTAAATTAGTCTAAAAAGACCAATAACTCCTTAAAAATACAGAATTATTTTCTGATTCTCACTTATTCTTGTGTAAATTTTCACAGACTTCAGCAAAAAAGAAAAAGGAAAGTCATACAGGATTTTCCTCTTTTAAAAATGAGTTACATGCAATTTTCATCTCTCTACTCACTTCTTATGACTGATTTCTATAGATAAAACAACTGATCTTCAAATTTTTCTCCAATGCTCTTCTCCCTCTTTCTGTTGTGTGAAATATCCATGTAAACAGGGCCAAAATCACTGCTTACATATTTCTGAAGGCAAAGCTATGAGCATGACAATATGCAGAATGTTGCTGCATGCATGAAGTAAATGAGAGTGAAATAATAAGAACAAACATATTCCACTCATATTTCTTTCAGTTACCATGATCCTAGCTGTCACTTGTAAATGTTGTAGATAAAATATTCAGACAGAAGTATGATTTTTGAGCTACTCATGTCTGTGAAGGCTTTAAACTTTAATAGTTATCCTGCCAGCTGCAGAAATGAAACTGTCTTTGATTTCTGACCTGAATAAATCAATGTGAGCTATGTAAAGAATGGGTTGTTAGTGCCAGGAAGCTATTTCTGTCCTTTTTTTGTGTTTGTTCATGATACTAAATTGAATGTCTGAATGTCTTATAAGATCATGAGTATGAAGTGAATCATGAAGGGTAATTAGAGGTAAGTTGTGCCTTTTGCTACATCCGTGGTTAAGGTGGATGTGGGCTGGGAGTGATGGTATCCAGAGCCTTTTCTCATCACAACTGCAGAAAACCAGGCCCCTCATAAGCTGCTCTGATGCCAAGTAGCAAACTATACCGAACCACCACCCAGGCACAGCCTGCAGAGTATATTTTTTCCCCCCCAACTGAACGTTTCTTTTATGCCATCTTCAGATAAACCACTTACCAATTATCATAACAGCCATAACATTAATTACAATGAAAAAGTGAATCACAATTTAAATTGAGGGTGTGAATATACAGAGACTTTGAACAATGTAATTGAACTAATTTGGATGCATCACATTATTCATACATTGCAATAGGTTTAAACAGTTGGGTTTATTCTCCTTTAGCTTAACCGTAAGTGCTACATCCTTTCTCTGAGATCATCTCTGGAGAAAAATATCTTCATATTTCTGTCAGGATTTTACAGTAGTACCAGTTGGTGCCCCTAGAAGTATGGTATAGGATTACTCCCCATCCATATTCCAGCAGAGCACATCCCACTACTTCCACAGCCCTGTTCTCACCTGGGCTGAGCTCTGCGGAGCCCACTGACTGTTGTGAGCTGCTGAATACTGAGCTACAATGGAGAATAAGCTGCGGAACACTTTCAAAGGGCTGTTGCAGTACACTGAAAGCATCACTGAAAGCTCATCTGTATTATTTTTTTTTAATGGTTTTATTGTCTTCTTGCTTAATTATTTGTGCTTGTTTGAGCAATTACTGAGAAACATTGATGCATATGGCTAAATAAATTAAAGAATAATGATAGCATTTAAAAAGAAACCATTTTGCAAATTTTCAATTTTTCATAGTTTCATGGAGAAAAATCATCTGTTACGTACAATTACTCAACTCTTTGACAATAAAATTCCACCCCTCCCTAGTTAATGCTAAGCAAATCTGCAACCGCAGCCTCTGCCACTGACCTCCTGTACCACTGTGAGCACTTCATTCCCTTGTTCCATGCCTTGTATTCTTTATTCTAAAATGTAGGATTCATGAATAACAAATGCTACAGTACTCATGTGGTACAGAATAGCTTGACACTTTTGCCCTAGTGCTATGCAAAGCAAAACACACACAATCCTTCTCCCCTTGCAAATTTTCAATTTTTCATAGTTTCATGGAGAAAAATCATCTGTTACGTACAATTACTCAACTCTTTGACAATAAAATTCCACCCCTCCCTAGTTAATGCTAAGCAAATCTGCAACCGCAGCCTCTGCCACTGACCTCCTGTACCACTGTGAGCACTTCATTCCCTTGTTCCATGCCTTGTATTCTTTATTCTAAAATGTAGGATTCATGAATAACAAATGCTACAGTACTCATGTGGTACAGAATAGCTTGACACTTTTGCCCTAGTGCTATGCAAAGCAAAACACACACAATCCTTCCCCCCCCCGCCCCCCCCCCCAGCTTTTCTTAGCTCTTCCTCCTCAATGATTTTCCCAAAATAGTAGTGACAAAAAATCCAGAAACAAATGTGGCACTGGAAAAAGGTGACGTGAGGATCCTATTACAAAAAGGACTGAGAAAACAGAGGGGGCCAGCTTTAAATTACATTGAGAGAGGGTGCCTCAAGGAGCTAAAGAGCCAGTGATTTTCCTGGGCTGACCTTGCAAGAAGAGCCCATCAGGTGGTACATCTATCATCTTTACAGCTGTTCCCATACGTTCTACATGTTTTGTTGCCAACACTACCTCTAGACAGAGGCCAGTAAACCCAAGTTTGTCTGTTCTGGTAGTTCTTCCTAAGTAGTCATACAATATAGAAATGGGAAGTTTGCTCTTGATCTTAACTGATAAATCACATCATAACTCAGACAAAACACACTTAAATCTTTCAAAAGATTACAGTGTGATCTGTTGCTCAACATGTATTAATTGCATTTCTATCGCAGTGACTAAAAAGAATTTATTTCCTACTACTATCAACAAAAGGCAACAAGACACAAAAAGAACATTTTTCTCCCCCTCGTTATAAGAATATCAGAAGCCTGGAGCTAGTGATTGCAAGCTATTAGAAACAAGTGTAGTGAAAAGTGAAACCGCACGCTACAGCATGAAAAGCATATTAACCACCTCAGAGGGAAAGTGATGGGGAATTAATAGATCTACTTAGTACCACGGGAGAAGGTATTAAAATCCACAAAGGTGAAAAAGGCCGCTTTAAACAACCATGACAACTCAGAATCACTAAAGAAATGGCAGGGCTTCAGCTGTTTTTTTTTAATTTTTAATGTTGCACAATGTATTTGTCAAGTTATGAGATTTAAAGAAATCCTATAGTCAAGCTTGAAAAAGAAGCTAGTAATCAGGAGCACGATTAAGACTCATGAAGACTGGTGAATTACAGAAAAACAAGAAGAGGGCCACAACTCCTCCTCTTGCTCCTTGCTCAGTCTATGAGGGGGCACAGAGAACTTCTCTTTCCAAGAGGGGCAGCTGAGAACGTCAATTTATTTCCTTTTGCCTACAAGGGCATTGAACAGTTTGCTGCAGTCTTGTGGAGCACGTTTGTTAAATATCTCTTGAAGATAATATAATCTCTTTGGGAAGGAGTAGGTAATCCTGAAATAAATCTGAATCTCCTTGTACCTCAAAAATCTTGCATTAAAAACTGGCATATCTATCTCCTCCTGACTGAGGAGTTACAGAAAGATTACCAGTGCATTAGCATCCAAATCCAAGATGCTAGAAAACTAAGAAATTTAGTACGTTCCTGCTAGAATATTTGGGAAAAGCAGTGGACTTGAAGAAGATTCAGGAGAAAAACTAGGAGCTGTGTTCAAACAGTTGTTTATAAATTCTGCTTACACTACACAGTATTTTTAATCTAATTTGTATCCCAACAAAATAATGGAATCGATAACAAGGAAAATAGACTCAGCACAGGTTACACAATTAACAGCCATGAGCAGCGGGAATTCAGAGAGAATACAGCTGTCCTGACAAAATCTAACCCTTTCTTTTATTTATTTTACAGAATCACAACTGAGCAGAGGAAGGAAGTGGAGGAGATGTAATGCATTTGAGTGTGGGAAGGAAAAGCATAAGATACTTCAAAATATTGTCCATGCAAACAAAAAGCTACATTCCCTGCAATATAGTAAATGACAGGGAGGCATCCATCTTTTAACTTAAATGCCTAACTACTTGTGTTCTTCCTCAGCCTCGGGGCTTGCCAAGGCAAGAACTGGGATGTGGCCATTCTTCCTCGGTTGTGTTTACCCTGCTGACCAAGAGAGGGCAAAACCCCCAAAGAGAGTAACTCCTTAAATGAAAGGAGTTTTAAAAAGCCTACATTTTTCAGTTGGCCAGCTCCATTTTTTTCTGAATACCCTGTTGCTTAACTTGAATATCCACATATGAAATAGCAATCCAGCCATATGGATGTTTAAACCTGGGGGAATGTCCAACACTTCACATTCATTTCTTAAACACTGCCTTTTGAAATAAAGATTGCTGCAAGGTAATCTGTAGTCTAGGATGCAGCAGGAGAATTCTGATACAAATGGAGAGTGTTTTAAAAGCAAACATTCAGAGCTCTTAACCTTGTATATGGTTCTCATAATCATACTACTGTAAAAAAAGTTTTAATTGGCATAGAGGTAGGATGTCATGGGGACTGAGGTGTGCAGTCCCTTTCCTTCTGCAGCAATATAAATAGCTGCCAGTATAATGAATTAGGCTAGAATAAAATGCAAATTGGTAATTAATTTTCATACTTGGTTAAAAAATGAAATGTGTGGTTTTTCTGTTAGAAGCAATTTTGATATATTCACATGGCTTCTCTCATTTTAAAAAAGATTCAAAATTGGCTTTGAAAATAAGTAACGAAAATTAATTATTTTCCTAAAGTCCAGTCAAGAGTAAAAAGGGAAAAAAGGAATAATGAGGAAAAAAGTACCTCACTGAGATTGGTGAAGCCCTTTACAACCATAAACCCCTTGAAACACTATCTGCTATACCCTGGGTTCTGGGAAATAAGTAAAACCTCTTTCTAGAGCAACATTGCATTTGGAAAGATCCATGCATGCTTTACAAAATGTAGCAATCTCTGAGCCAAAATGTGATGGCTCTTTCAGAATAGACATTATTAGAATAGTAATCAAGAATAAGGAACTTTATGGAACTATTCTCAGTTCTACACTAATGTATTCCGTATTGAAGAAGAAAAAGCATGGCGAAAAAGCTCAAAGTATCACAAGGCCCATTCAAAATAGGCAGGTGAAAAATATGGGAGAATCTTTTAGAGAAAGAGAGAAAGGTGACATACAAGCAAGACAGTTTTCCCATGTAAGAGGAGCACCTCGAGTGGGAAAAGAAACAGCCTCAGGATTAGACAAACCAAAACCCCAGACTGGAGAACTAGTCTCCAGAAGATAATCACCTTGATTTAAGTGTCTTTATTGGCTCCTGTAAATGAAGAGAACTAAGATTTCTCCCCTAACCTGCACGGTGGGAGCTGCAGATGGAATCGCAGAGATGGCCCCCAGGCAATGAGAGGCAGAAAGGCAGCAGCAGGGCCGTGGGAGCCCTCTCCTCCCTGTGCCTCTGCCTGCTCCCTTTCCCACCCAGCGGATATACGTGGGGCAGATCTCTGGTCTCTGATGCGTATTCACTCAGCCAGTCCTACCAAACACCACTTCAAAGTTCTTCTCTGTTGCCTCATCATACCCCCTGCCCTTTATTTTCCCCTCTGATCTGCCAAGTTTTGTAAATATTTCATGAACTGCCTACACGCATTCCTGCACTAAAATCTTGCTAACAATAGAAACCATTATTACCCTCCACTGTTATGCTACATCCTGCACAAGGTCATTCTGTTTTTCTTCCTTAGTATCTTTGCTCCCAAAGGGAAAATGCATTAATAGCAAGGAGAAAACAGCTGCCTGCAAAGCAGCCACAAGAACAAGAAAATGGCGTGTTAATTACCAGCACTGATAATGCCAGTCTGAACAGCATTAAAAGCTGAAAAGCAAATTTAGATTAAAAAAATAAATAATAATAATGGTTTTCGATCTCTAATATCTGGAATCTGCAAACTGCTACTTGAGCCATTATGGCTATTGTTATGGCAGAAGAAAGAGACTTAAAGAAAGCATGTTGATGTTTTTTTTGATGCTGCTCACAGGACATCAAATAGTTCACCGTGATGATAGGTTGACAAAATATTGCACTGAATTACAGTGACAAAAAGGCAAAAACATATTCTTAGTGTTAACCAAGACCTACTTTATGTGTTAGAATAAAAGGCTCGCTTTACAACTTTACCTTTTGTTGCCATCATTACAACCCAACAACACACCCAACAGCTTTTTTTTAGGGGCTTAGAAGTAATACATGACTGAATGAAGTGAAACAAAGAATTGCACGAGGTTTTTGCAACTGTGATTATATTAATTTAGGGGGGCTATCTTCCTTCTTGAAATAGCATATTTTTCCTGAACCACAAAGCATATCACGACCACAATGGTGCTCCTCTAAAACAAAAATTTAGTGAACATAAGCAATGCTCTGACAACTCCTCTGTCATAGCATGCAGGCTCTGCTTACTCTGAATTGGTTAATGGGCCTTATACTTATTTCTGCATTAACTGGATGTAAACCAGGCATTGTGACATCTGTGGCTAAGTGGGCATGAGTGCTCACTTTTGGTAAACTCCCACTATTTTGATGGAATCTGGCAAATAAGCTAGTCAGCTTTAAGAAAAATTAAGCTACTGTCTTTGTTTAAAGAAGAATTAAGCATTTAGAAAAGCTTCCATACATCTTTTATGATTTCCTATTGTATTGCTATCAGGATTCTTCTCATTTGTTCCAAAGAATTTGTTTAAAATAAGACAGCACTAAATGTGTGTGACCAGGGGAAAGAAAATTACATGCATTGGAAAATATCTCGCAGCCAGAACTAAACAAATTGGTCACCTTCAAGTTCCTTATTTCAAATATGCTTTATGTTTTTCATGATTGTGGGACTATACTTAGAAATTGACTACATAATTTTCAAATTGAGTTTGAACAAACTATTCTCTTTCTGGTATTAAAAATCCCTTTAACTCAAGATCCAGGAAAATGAGACTGTCTGCACAGTCTTCCCTTGGGCACTAGTTTACATGTGGAAATTTAGTTCTAGATTTTTAATTTACTCTGAATTAACTGTAATGCATTTCTACATTTTTCTCATGTATGTTCATTAATTATTGGAATGCTTGGAACTGAAATCACTTAGGATCAAGAACTCCCACTTCACATACAAACCATACATATGAGCTAAGTTGTTCCTGGAAAGTATAGTAGTAATTTCCACTGCTAGATGTAGAGCTAGGGGGCTCAACAAGGTCCATTACATGAACAAAATGTACCATGATCCACTGAAAAAACTTCGAGAAAAAAAATCCCTGCTTGGTGTTTTCCATTAACAGGCCTGATACAAAAAATTTTATAAAAGTGGTGAGAATTCTTGTTCCCATTGCTCAGATGCTAATAGCAACATGTCGATGTGCTGCCATCAGCAGCAGGAACTCAGCCACGCTATTGAGTGTTGGAGCTGGCAGGATTACTTACATTTTGCAGCTGGACTCGGCTTTGTGCCATACACTCTGACTTTGCCATCATGCTGGAAGCATTTAGGCTGTAGGTTTTCCTATTCTGTGTTTCTTTCAGCTGTTCATGAATTTGCTTTGTTTGTTTCCTGCGGAGAGAAATAAAATTCATGTAAGAAAGAGCTAGTTTGATCTTCTACTATAGCCATGATATTTTTATAGCCATGGTTCCCTTTGTTCAAAACTTCAACGTATTAGATTAACCAGCTGAGCTAATTCACTAGTGTCTAATATTTCAATGCACTGGTCATTTTCTGGCGAGGCTTAAGAAAGAAAGAAAAAAAGGAGCTCTTCTGTTTAAAAGATCCTTTATTCTCAGATTATATAATAGCATGCTAGTTGTTTTAGTGCAGTATTTGGTAAGATCATCTATTACATATTTAACAATAGCTTGCAAGTAGGACTGCATATTAAAACAACATTTTGCTCTGATTTGGAACAAAGATTTTGGCAAATACAGCAGGCATGAGTCCCTGTTGGCTACAAAAAGTGTCAAAGAATCAAAGATTTCTGCTAGTAGCTGATTAGACTTGACCTATAACCCAGTATCTTGTATAGACAAGCTTTTGCTTACATGATTAAACCTGGAAAAAAAATCAGTATGGTATCTGAGGCTGTGTTTTTGACATATTATATGCTAGAGCTAGGATTACCACTAGATGAATCGCTTGCTATATTCAGGAGATAGCTACACTATTAATAAAGGCTTTCTGTTTCTGCCACACTATATTGGCAAACTGAGTTCTGAAGTTCTTTACATGACTGAGGATATGAGGCAGCAAACTTTATTTTAAATATTTCTTTTGTCTTCCGCAAACAGATATCTAAGCTGAGCAAAAACTGTTACAAAACATATTTAAGGTCTTTTCTCAGTCTTCATTCTTTTGATAAACTACATTGTCTGAGACTATCAGTTTTAAATAATCACAAGAAATAACTCCACAATGCTATTTTAATTCTTTCTTTCCTTCCTTCTCTTTTCCTTTTTCTTCCCAGCAGATGCATCTCCGGCAATGAACATGCAAAAGCCCCTATTGTAAGCATGTTACAAATATGAATGGCATGCTTTAGGTATAGCTCAGAGATAGTAATTAGTAAGACTTATGAACATGGGTGGGTGATGAAATAAATTCTCAAGCAGAAAAACTTATTAAACTTCCAAAATTCATCCTTAGCCAAAACAATTTGTAAAGTTAATATCAGAATAATCTGAATCGATTTATAATTTAAAGGATTATAGTGTCAAATTAAATTAGTCAGATGATTCTAAAGCATCTCTTTTCAAAACATGGTTTGATATCTACTCCATTTTGAAACCAATGAAATTGAATAATTTAACTTGTAAAATGTCAAAATGAATGCTTTAGCTTCTCATAAAATTCCAGGGAAAATTCAGAAAAACAACTCTAGAGTTTGTGTGAATAATTATTTTCTGACCAGCTAAATTATATATACTGAGGAAACAGCATATATATCCGTACGTCCCACTAGAAAGCCAGGCGCTTGCATGTTGGTCTCCATAATGGTTATGGAACACCCAGTCTTTTTTGATGACTGTTTTGAGTGAAGACTTAATATAAAGTCTAAACAATGACAGCAAAACTTGATCACAGCATCAGGGAATCTCCTCTATACATACAAAGTTCTTAGAATTTAATCAGGAAAACAACACAAATTTTTGGAACTCTAATTGGGATTTATTTAGAAAACCTGAGTTTAGAGTTGTTTCTACATCTACAAATCTACAGGAATCTCCTCTATACATACAAAGTTCTTAGAATTTAATCAGGAAAACAACACAAATTTTTGGAACTCTAATTGGGATTTATTTAGAAAACCTGAGTTTAGAGTTGTTTCTACATCTACAAACATGTGTAAGTAAACTGGAATATTCAGCTTCACTGCTGCAATCTTTAACATTATAATTGAGATTCCCAAAGGCAATTTACTGAGAGAAACAATTGAATAATTAATTTCCTTTTATGATCATGCAACCTAACATTAATATTAGGTTTATGCACATTCATTTTGCCAAACGATAGGAAACACAGTTATAAAATTAGAAACTATTAATAATTCAAAGTTACTCACCGATCAATATATTTATTTTATAATTTTTGTTTTCAAAACAAATGGGCCTTGTGTGTTCTACTTTAAAGATATTTGGCAATAAAGTGCTGTTACTTTAGCAAGAAATAAAGTCACTATGCATCTACAAAAGTCTAGGCCATAAAGAGCAACCCATTACTGTACTCTCCCTCTGTTGCTAACACTTAGAGTACTTTTTTGATTACCCTAAAAGGAATAATTGGAAATTAAATTTTAGTTCTAAACTTCCTCAGATTAAATTTATTTTAAAGAAGGACTTCTAATTTAATGGTGCATAGTAAAGTGCATATTTCTAGCAGTAGGTATTATACAATTGTCAGACTAAGAAAGCATCAGTGTTTTCAAGGAAACTTTTTTCTTAAAGGGTGCACCTTTCAGAGTTTCTGCAGCTGTTAGTAATATTTTAAATTTTTGATACATCAAATTAAACCCAAGGATTATCCCCCATGCAGGAGGAATGCTTTGATAACTCTTAAGCATGATCAAGACACATCTGCCTGACGAAGAAGCTCCTGGAAATCCATTGACTAAAAGCTAACATATGATAATGGTTGAGGCACTTTAAATGTGTTGTTTTTTACAGCCTTAAGACACTATCCAGTGTCACAGTTGTGATACTGTTTTATGTGGCCTCTATGCAACCCCGTCTAGACACTCTTCTTTACTTTTTGGACAGTTTGCCAGACAGAGCAACAGCCAAGGAGCTAGGGATTGATTGGTGTCTTACCATTACTGTGTTTCATAGATTTGATAAGATCTCTTGACTGAACTGGAGGTGCTCATTTTCTCATTATGTTTCAAACCTCAGTTCCCAGAACCTGGCAAGAGCACACTTCAACTCTTCCCAGTAACTCTTAACTATCATCTTTATAATGCAGGTAAAAACCCAACCCAAACCCTCACATCCTGGTGAGATATGAAGCATTATTTGTCTTGTCGGTTCATTTTTGAAGCACTGTTTCTACTAATTATTTTTAGACACAGCTCTCCACATGACCTCATCCATGTCATGTTATCTGGAAGGCTGTTCCAACTCAGCTCTCCACAACTCCTTACAACACTGCAAAACCAAGACGGGCACAGCTGAATAACAGAGGGACATTTTATTCACACTATGCTCAGTTGCTGACTGCATGTTCTTCCAACTGACAATCTCCTTCTGCCTTTTCTGAATCTCTCTTCATCAGTAAAAGCCCCAAGCTTTTCCAGGAAGAACCTTATTCTCTCTTCTTTTGTCTGCAGATCTAAAATGCATAATGACATTTCTAATGCAGTGGCAAAATGGCTCTCTGCTCACAATTTATACTACAACCAAGGAGTCTGCAGACAGGTACTGTCCTGCCACAGCATCCTCCCAGCTGGCATCGCTGTCATATCCAAGGTCCAAAGAACAACTAAATGAAATCCCTCAAGACATAAGAACAGGTAGGAGCGTTTAGATGAAACATGAACAAACTCAAATCTTCACTCAAATCATGCAAACACTACCCCTGAAGTTTGGAGGGATGAAAAAGAATAAAAGCAGATCTAGTGACTTTTCCAACTTTTTATTTTTCCCTGATTGAAATGTCAAAACACTTTACATTTTTTAAAAATAAAAACTAGTCCTCAACAGATTTCCTACCCATTAAAATAAACTCTAAAAAAGGAGATTCAGATAAGCATCCAAACTTATAAATAGTGCAACCCTCCACATTTTTGCTGTTTGGGCACCAAGACTAACCTCATGCAGGCACTATTTATATTGATAGGTGTTCTCTCATTATCTCCAGCTGGAACAGGAATGAGGGATGACAACCATACAAACATATTTATAGATACAGTGGCACTGACAAGCAGGTCATATAATTGATATGAGGTTTTTGCAACTCAAATTACACACATAACAATACATATTATAAAATAATATTTAGTTGGGAAGATAAAGAATAGAGGGAAATGCATTTCACTTGAAAATAGTTTAGTACAGATGATTCCACCATACTCGAATTGCAGTTAGGCAGCTACATCAGGAGTTTACAACTCTTAGCTACAGGTTACAGATATCTGCAGAGAACTTGTCTCTCTCTGCATTTCTATCTTTACCTTTGGTCTCAGCATACAGAAACCACAGGGACATTCAGGGATATGAAATGGAATGCAAAAAGGAGATGGTATGTTTAAACTTTCATTTTCAAAAGAGGAAAATTATTATTGCACTGATAGTAAAAGACACAAAATTATTATTGTCAAAAATAGAACTGGAAAGGACACAATCTCTTCTTTCCTGATACCAGAGAAGAGAAAAAAGAACATATATTACTCCTGTTTATTTTTTTTTTTTTCTCTAGATAGTGTAGCTAGCCATGGGAAACTGCTCTAGCCTGTCCAGAGACAAGAGCAGCTTCAAAAGGAGGGGATAAACTGAAGAATTGAACAGAACCTAAATAACAAACATGCTAGGCAAAAGGCTCTTACTTTGTTTTGAAGTAGAACGCTGCACAAAGCATGCCCACTACGACTATGCCAAAGACGATACAGGAAATAGACAGCACCTGGCGCTGGTACACTTCTTCGCTTTCTGTGAACAGCAAAATTGAGAATTATGAAAGCATCAGGAGACAATAATTGCAAAAAGTGGATTTCAGCACATCATGATTTCACTAATAATGGACAGATGCGAGCTATTTGGAGGTCTAAGTTGCCCAGTTCCTCAACAGAATGGATGCTTCTCTGAACTTTTCATCTCAATAAGGTTCATAGAGTCATGGCTTCCTAGGAAGTTTTAGAAAGTGGTTCCAATACACACTCAGATATATAATAACAAAAATCAGGATAGCTTAATATTTTTTCTGCCATATTTTTCAGCTTTTTTAGAAAGCTTCTACTGTCAATAAAGAGCTGTACAACCATGGAGTTTTTCTGGCTTAAGGCAAGACCCATCAGAGCTCTCACAAGATTCAGAGTTCTTTTTAGCTACCCCAAAAATGTTAGGTTTTTTTTGATTGAATATTTATTACCATGCCTTATTTCCCTGTTATTCCCTGTACTTGAAGTTTACGTACAACATAGCATGGTAAAAAATTAATTCAATCAACTTGGATGGAACCCAATGACTACTATGATACAATGCACCAGATATTGCTTTCGTGGGAGTCTGTTTTTTTTAAAGAAATTTCTTTAATCAAACTCATAATCTTCTAATTAATTTTAAAACAGGAACAGAATGAAAGTAAAGAATAGGAAAAAAAAGCTAAGAAAACAAGAGAAAACAGTCATTCATGACAGCAGACACAAGCTGATAGGCAACTGGAGTTACACACACTGAATGCATTAACAGCTCCTAAAGTGTTATATTTTATTTTTATAATTTCAACTGCTTCTCTAGTCCAAAGTGCTAACATGCTAAACAGTTTGTTATTTTTTAAGATCAGACTCTCCAAACATGCAACATACGAAACAGTATTTTCATTCATATATTTAGATAGAAAACCAACATGTAGGATTGTCAAAGCACAGCACGAGCACCGTACACTGACAAACCCACACTCTCTTTCTAGGTTGGCAACTCAGTGCAGACACCCCCTATCAGTATGAATACCAGTCAAGTAGGTGACAGTAACTCCAAGTTCCTGGTTCATAAGTCTCAGGTTCATTAGAAGAAAATATTGTATGACAATATCAAGGTGAATCTAAGCAAATATTGAAAAAAAAATCCACCCCCAACTGGAACTTCAGTCAAATACTATCTGTTGTTATAATGATTGAAGACTATACACAGTATCCTAATCAGTATTAATTATTAATTTCTCAATAATGAACATCACAGTGCTCTTACTAAACATTTGGAATCATAAATGCAGTCACTTTTCTCTTGTAGGAGTCCCAGTTGCTTTTTATAATCCATTTAAAAAAAATACAAGTAGAAAAGCTTTATTTTGTAATTATTTTTTTACTTGCTCAAAGAATACCACAGTGATTCAGAAGCCATTTCTAAGATGCAAAACGTCCTCAGCTCCCACTGAATGATCTCATTTAATTTTGAAATTCTAAAAGATGTACTTCTACAATATTGTCTTCAAAATAAAGAGAAGCAAATGCAGTACACTGCATTTGCAGCGCATATACTTTTTACACATCTAAAATATATCTGGAAAGGTTGCAATTCAATAGGAAATGCTGATAACACTGCAGTAAAACTGTTTCCAGTAGAGCTTTAGGCCTATTCCTCATTAGCATATATAAAATTTGGATCCAGACAGTAAATCTTCGTTGGCAACGAACTAGATGTTTGGGGGTTTAATTTATTTTTTTGCTTTGTTTGTTTGTTTTTACTAGGTTGTGTAAACACAATTATCCACTTTCCATTTTCACTGCAGTACACAAAGGACTAATCTTACAAATCTTAAATTGTTATGTTGAGGTGGATCACATTGCAAATAGTTAAAGAATTGCTCCATTCAGAAATTGCTAATCTATTCTGCCTGAATACCAATTTCAGCACCTACTGCTTAAGACCACAACTGAAACATACATACTTATGAACTGTAATTTCACTCAAACAGTGCATATAATAATAATTTAAAAATCTATTTATTAAAAGAAATTGATTTCAGTAGAGTGTGTAAACAGGCTTAATTTTGTTTTTATTTCAACTGAAGTCCTCATTAAATACTTTCTTTTCTTTTTCTTCTGCTATTTTTTTGAGAAATGTTGAGTTTAATGCAGCTATGGTCTTTTGTCAGTCTTGAATAGCTATCACTGTCTTGTTAAAGATGCTTTAGAATATGTCTTACCAAGATAAAAGCACTTCAGAGACTGGACAATATTATCTTGCTCAGACAACTATGTGAAGATTTAAGTCTTTTGTGTAGACAGATTAATCCCCGTCACTAGCTTTCAACACATGCTGATCGATGCTTTCTTTCCTTTTTTATTTTCTACAGTGCACATTTAAAGAACTACTTATTGATTAACTTTACTCCATTTCTTAGACACTTAGGTTCATTTTTTTTATATCCTTTAAATCTTTATTTATGTATTGGACTCTGGCATATTTGTCTCCAACATCTTAAAATATAATCAGTTAAGCCTTTTCCATTCTCTAATCCTCCTCGTTGGCTTTTTTAAAGAAACCCACCTTTTTCCTGATAGGAATGTAATCTTTCTCCCTGGGCAAACTTTGAAGATCTCCTCATTGTTGCTTTGATTTAACCTCACTATTGCTCTGTAACACATACAGCACAGCTGAGGTCCTCTCTAGCCAAGGTGTACTGAATAGGGCCTTTAAAGAAGGCCAACGGCTACAGCTGAGCACTGCAAAGCACTTTTGTTCTCACAGAGCAGAAAGCCATAGAAATTCAATGTTTAGAAAATAGAACTGAAAATTCCTTCTCCTTAGTTGAAGACGTGCATCAACTTGTGCGTACCTGTATTTACATACTGAAAGAAACTTCCCAAGGTAATCTAAAGTGTGACTGAAACTTATTATGATAAGTCTCTCTTTATTCACATATATTCATATGTGCCTTGTGAAGTAAATCACCTTAATTACATTTGACTGAAATAAATACTCTAGGGAGAGGATTCTTCTTTTAATGAGCAGCCAAGAAAATATTTCAGCTAAAAAAACAAATTTAAACTGCCATGGATATTCCGGGATAATCCAGCTGAGTATTTAAGACTACAGAACACAAATTCCACCAAGCATTCAAATAATACAAAAATACGTAACCTATACCAACACAAAAACAACCACAGAGCATAGTGCTGAAAAATAACATAGTAAACTGTTTAGATCCAGACTATTTTGTTTAAAAATAATTATGGAAAGAAAGATCTTCCCAGAAGATAATGACAAGATAAACTCAATGGGACATGAAGCCCGCTGAAAGGCTGGATTCCCATAGACAAGTCCCCATTCACTGAGTGCTGTTACATGTCTAGCCCATTTTTTATTTATACTATTGATTCTTTCTTATTTTCATTCCTGCTAAAAAAACTGTCTTTCTCCCTTCACCTGTCATGGCACTCCACTGACTATAAACTTCTTGTGCCTTACATGCTCCTTTTTATAAGCTTATCTCACACATTTACTATCATTAAGAAACCCAAAATAACCACTGGTGACCCATGGAAGAAAAGTTTCTTCCAGCACTCACTTCACAGTCACATTTCATCTGTTTGTTACTACAAAAATGTACATGCCGTATTACAGGTCCTAGAGTTTGGGGGTTTTGCATTCTCTTGCTCTTTAAAATTTATTCTTAAAGGCAGACATCTGTCTGCTTTATGCATGTGGAGAGACCCGCTGAAGCATAAGCGTAAGTCTTTAGAGGGTTAAAAGGTGTAGGGTAGACACATTTTTTTCATGATTGTTACTTCTAAAGGATATGGTGGTTTTGTTGTGTAAATAACCTGAAACTCGCCTCTTCTTTGTGACTTTATTATAAAAGGAAGAACATTGGTTCAAGGACCTTGAGAAACAACCATGTATGTTTCAAACCATATTACTGAGAAAGAATAATTTAGTTAATTAAAACAGATTATGTTAGGCTTTGCTAGTACCTAAATCCACAATATCATTACCAGCCATGATCTTCTAGTTCATATTGTGTATTTTCTGAATTCATCTTTGAAAGGTATTTCAAATATGAAAAACAGTAGTGTGCATGTGGTCTAAGCAAAATGATAACAAAACAGTAATTGCAGCTTTCCCCCTTGTGGTGCTTATTTCAATGGCTCTTAAATGAAATCTCAGTATGGTCACAAGCATCACAGAGAATTACTGATTATTCAAACTGAGCCAACTGAGAAATTATGACATTTACCATATGAATATATTACTTAAGCTTTGCTCTATAAAGAAAAAAAAAATGCAGATTAATTTTTCTGAAGTTTTTACTCCCAGCCCCAAAAGTAGCACAAACCCCAACAACATTCAGCATTCCCTTACTGTCCTCACTCCCCTCCCCTAAATGGACCTGCTCCGTATTGATGTAAGTAACAACATGCTACAGAATAAATATGGAAAACCCAGTATCATGTCATTGGTATGTATGATAAACAATAGCTTTCCATGTGCTTTCTGCCATCGATAATTGCCAATGAAAATTTATAAAAATAATTCTAACACTTATTTTTCACCACAAAATTTAGAGATGTTCTTTTTTACCTTTTTCTCAATCCCTGCCATTTAAGAGTTAACAGAGGAAGCATGGCCTAATGGATAGAACATAAAAAGAGCTTTTCCTCAATTCATTATAAGACAGCATGAATGGAGGCTTTCTTTTTGTGCCCATGCAAAAACTAAGCCATAAAGCCACCTTCACTGTAACCTCACTGCCACACACTTTTTTCATTCCCTGCCTGTGTATTTTCTGACACACCTGTCCTCATGCTGTATTGTATTGGAATGTCCTGCAGAGCCAGAACTTTGCTACTGAGGTGAACCTCAATAGCATCATTGGCCACTTATGCTCTTATTGGTGTCCTGCATCCTCAAAGTCCCAAATACAACGACAGAGGAATAGTGCATGGAAATCCCATAGGAAACGTCAAGATTTCCAATAAAATACAGAT